GCCTCTGGCTCTGCGCTGGGGGAAGGATGCTCAAAAGGGCAGCTGCAGGCAAAAAAAAGTGACAAGGGTCCGTCCCCACCTTTGAAGCTGGCGAGTCAGGGTGGTGAGCCAGTTACGGCTCATTAGCTGAGCTGTGGGAGCTGAGTCTAGGTGTGGTCTCAGCCTGCCCAACTGTGAAGTGCATTTGCTTACACCACTGTGGGGCACAAGGACACAAGGTGCCACCCTTTTTCCTGAGCAAAATAACCCTGGCAGCTTGCTGAGACCATCGGGTGACTGCCCTCAGCTCCTGGTCCTCATCAAAGCCTGCCCGGATTCACTCCTCGGACCAGAGTTATTGGCACACTTTTCTCCGTGACTCTGCAGGCTTAAACAGGTCCTGCCCCCTCACTTCACTTCTCGTTCTGTCTTCACTTGTGCCAGAAAACCTGTTTTTGGGGCTGAACCAGATGAGGGAACTGATCTGGGTTAAAAATAACTCCCCTCCCCTCTTTAGGGTTATTTTTAACTTGGATCAGTTCCCTAATCCAGTTCAGCACATGCCCCTGTGAACACAGGGTTTGAGAGCACCTCCTGTTGATGCTCTTGCTGAGGGAACATCCATGTAGCCACAAACTTCATTTTACCCAGGATACTTTTTTTTTTTTATCTTCTAATTTAGCTTTGGACTGGCGGATCTCTGTGTCTGGTAGGTGGCAGCTTTTGGAAGCTGTGAGTGATTGAAGTCAGTGGATTATAATAGAAATTTTGCACAGCTTTCAGTGAAGCTGGCATGTTAATGGCACTGTCAGCAGCACGGGGTGATGATTTGTAGGTGGAGAGCTCGTTTGTATCTCCATGATTGCGAATTTTCATTTGCAGCAATTTTGAGCTGCTTGGGTGACACATCTCTGTTTCATTTTCTTTGTCGTGCGAATGGGATTGTTTAGTCCTTGGGTGTCAGAAGGATGAAGGAGCTGGGTCTGCCCTTGTCAGCCAGCCCCTGTGGAAGAACAGAGAGAGTTTTACAAAAAACAGCAGAAAATTTTTGGTGTAATAGGAGCATCTTTTCAATATCTGACTGAGTCCCACCCATGGGACTAGGCACTCATCCCCGTGCGCTTTCCTTGTAGATGCTGCGGTCTTGAACAACGTTGCCCACACGTTTGGCCTCATGGACACAGTCAAGAAGGTTCTGGACAACAGGAAAAACCAGACGGAGCAAGGAGAGGAACAGTTCCTTTACACGCTGGCAGGTACAGTCAGTGCCTGGTGAAGCTTGTCACCCTGTTGCTGCTCTTGGGAACTGATGTGACTTTTCCTTCGACACACGGACTGCGGTTGGGTTATCGTTCAATACACGCTGACCCAAACCAAACGCATCCCAATCCCTTCCCATCCTAGGGCCTGAGTGGAATTTCCCCTCTCCCTCGCCTCGCAGTGAGCACTCGCTTGGGGCGTTCGGCAGCCCAAAACCTGTGCCCTTTGCTGCAGGGGTATGAATCCCATTCAGTCAGCGTTAGGAAATAGGAGCTGGGAGCTAGGGGCTCTGCAGCGGTCATCGGAGCTGCAGTGCTGTGCTGGGCCTGAGCTAAGAAGCTTCTCTGTGTACGGGGTGCTGAGTCCTCTGCTTGTCTTGGTGGGGAGCCATCGGGTGTCTTGCACGGCGTCCCCTGAGCTGAAGCCAAGAACCTGACCTGGATTCCCTAGAGCCACTTGCTGGATGTGTCTCCCTCCTCACTGTGTCCTGTAGAACCTCTTCTTATCTGGGATGTCCTAGTCCCCTACTGCCCTGGATAAATGAGATTACTGTGCTACTTCTGACTTCCAGTGTTCACACAGGCACGGGCTGAGGGAGGTGTCCCCAGTGCAGGTGCTTGGTTCTTGGGGAGGGGACCCAGCCAAGCTCAGGAAGCAGGTTCTACTGTCTGGAGGGGCTTGTCCC